CTTCTGATGATTCCTTTCGACATTATAATCATATTGGAGGAATAAAAAGAAGGGGTCACCAGACTCGTTTTCATGCAATAGCTTTCGTGAGTTTAGCAATTCCCACGCGCGTTCTCGCGCATTTAAAAATCTGGATTCTGTAAGATCAACATTTGCTCATAATCTGTTATAGCTACCGCTGACAATTGCGTGTGCTCGCGCGAGCGCCTACGATCTGATGTTTACAGACGTTTACTGCTAAGAAAATCATTAAACAGCTGTCAAAGACAGCCTCTCAGGCTCATCTTAAAAATCCTACACATGACTTCTGGCTATATCATATTATTTTCCTTTAAGTTTCGAAGTCTTTTTCCACTTTAGGTAGATTATCGTTCACTTGAGTTCTTCTTCTTTCGTCGTCGCCAGATTTCATATCGGTTGAATATTTCTTTTAGATGTGAAGTAAAGCAAACTTTACTTCTCCCAAAATCGTCTTCTTTATCTTAGTTTCTATCTCCTACATTCACAGTGGCCGCTCAACACATCAAATACACGCTCTTAGGTAAACTTCTCACAAACGTAGAAAAAAATCCACGCGCCGCCATCTTTGTTTTGAATTTTCATCTTTTGATCTCACGCTTCTTTCGCACGTTTCTCTCGTGCGTCACGAGAGAGTGACCTGTTTCCCGCGCGAGGAAACTGGTACCAGCCACCTTAATAAGATATATATAATGCAAATAATCGTGAAAGATGATCGCGGAAAAAGCGATTGCGTGACACTCGGTAAGTCGTAAGATGACATTTTATCACGTTTCAGACGAAAAAAAACAGTTTAAATCCTCCTTCTGCATTTTGTACCAAGTCTGCAGTCTACAATCTGCATTTTTTACTGACCGGTTACTTAATACATTCGCAGAACTAGAAGTTGCGGACCGAATTAAACTTCTGGCCCTGAATACTAGACTCTCTAATTAGCTCCTTCCAAACATATTGCCTTATTCTCGATCTCTCCTCGTTATCCGCCATATTTGCCTCCTCGAAAGCGAGATAAAAAATACATGTTGTCATTGATATTAACTGTTGAAGGTGGACAAATTTTATCATTGACCTAAATAGTGATAACTGGCAAAGAATGAAAAAACACAGGCTTAGCCTTGAAACTTTGAAAGCGGTTTGATTTCGCATGGAACTTGACACGACATATAGACTCCACGCGCACTAAGGTACTCTCAAAAATTGTTATACTCACTCCCGCAGTCCCTAGCCCGCTGACCAACTCATTCTCTCACTCACTTACTCATCTCGACAACACTTGGCTTCGCCTCATAAAGGAGGCAGTAGCCACAAAAAAGGGAAACGGTGTAATACATCAAACCGTGCTAGTGATATCATGGACTGGGTCAAGACAAGAAAGTTGTGGAGCGCTTCTTTAATTATTTTGATAGGTTTGGACGTCCTTGTAAACATATCTGGACCAGCTGAATTGATGAAACAGATTCAACAACCGCATGGTGAAGTAAAGAAAAGGTCTAGCGAAGTCCAAGCATCACGTGAGGAATTTGGTGATGTTTCAGAGACAGAAAAACTAGTTGGCCAACGGGGCATTCAACCCGAAAGTGAACTGACTAAAAGTACATCTAACGAGAGTGAAGGTAACTCAAAATCACTGTGCTTTTGTTTTCCGTAAGTTTTTTTGTTTTCAGGAGGGCAAAAACTAACATGGAATTAATATTTTAACCGCCTCCCTGTTAGCTCAATGGATAGAGCGCTGGACTGTTGTGCGGGAGGTCGAGGGTTCGAGCCCCGGCCGGACCAACACTCAAGGTCTTAAAATAATTGAGAAGAACATACTACCTTTCTATAACATCAAGAAATGGTTAGATATTCTAGTCTTCTCGGATAGGGACGAATAAATGGAAGTCCCGTCTCCTGCAGGGTTAGGGGTAGGAGACGTTAATTTCCCACGCACGAGATTACTGTGTGATGGATGTCCTCCCCTGGGGTGGGATGGGTGGGTTTGTTGGAGCTTAAACCTCGTAGGGGACCCATCTCCTATTGTTTCTGCTCCAGTACCTGGTACAAATCCTTAAATAAATAAATAAAAAATGAATTAAAAAATAAATGTTTATGTTTACGTTATTTTTGCGATCATAAAAGCATGGCTAATCAACTAAGTCTTGAAAAATCTAAACTACAACCCATGTTTGCACTCTTTTTGGTTTTATCACTTTAAAGAATTTTTATTGTCGTCTCGCCTCACTAATTTTCCCGGTGTAACTTCGTACAACCGCCCCTCCCATGCGCTATTCTATTACGTTTTCGGGCAACAATGATTCGCGGCCAAGGATTTCCGCAGTCACATTGTCACAGTTATCAGATTTCCAATGACCCAGAGCCATATTTGCGCGTCAGTATAGCCCTGATCAGCGGCATAACACGCACCACCAATACGACTGACTGACTTGTGTAACAACTAGTATCTAAGCCACAGAAAACTGAACACCGCTGTAATTCGACGTTAAATTGGTGCGCAGAAATTGGATTCTGACCAGCATGTAGAATAGGGGACCGGAACTCTTTCCCCCCAATTCTCGATATTGAATAAGGGCTTTAACAGAACAATATCCGGAAGAAGCCTCTGGCGCAATTAAAATATCAAAAGGCCGACGGCTAGTGTTATGCCTCTACTCTGAAATCGTAATTTTCGCCCTGTGAATATAGCCATCGCGGGACAAAACGTCAGGCTACTGTATCGTACGGCAGAATGCGAAAATCAAGTGCTTTTACACTTTTTACGATTTTCATTACTTCAGAGTTAGTTAATTACTTCAAATCCAATAATAACTTTAGAAAGAGAGGAATTCGAAAACTCAGGATGTTTGGCTGTTGACTTGGGCTACTGGTATAACGGTGTACGAACTGCAACAAAAGTTTCACTGCTTTCCAAACCTGATACATAAACCTCTCAGTTGATGATAGAAAAATAACTACTAATGGCTTTAATTCTGTTTTTTGACAAAATAGCAAACTAGAGTAAGAGTAGTTCTGGCTGATTAACAACTGCGATTTGTTAATCAAATGTAATGGATTTGCCAATAATGACCTCGTAGTGTGATCGTCTGGGTAATAGTATAATCTTGAGAAAACTTCTCTCGATGACTTCTGCTTACAGTTGTTGAAACGTCATACACTACTACCATCAAAAGTATTCTTCAGAACTTCTCTAACCCGGAAGATCACACTACACGATCACATTTTACTCACGGGTTCAAACAATTGACTGTTGTACTTATTGGAGTTTGACTAATAGCTGTTGGCCGTGGGTCTAAGGTTCAAGTCGCTCGTTGAAGTGAGAACAATTCGCGGTTGATCAAAAGTTATGTTTTTAGTTACTAATAAATTGCATGTAATTTGATTTAGATTGCTCCTTATTTGATTGATTATAGAGAATAGATAATCACCGAAGAAAAATTCAGTGCTAAACTTTAGAAAATAGCATGCAAAGCGAGCCTCAAGGATCCTCAATGAAATCTCGCACAACCTTACACTTAATTGAACTGGTATTATGTTGATTTCGTTGGGAAGCGGTCAAAGTGTAGTGTGATCGTCCGGGTGAGTGTAGTCCTGAGAAGGACTGTTGTCGGTGGTGGTGACTGACGTTTCGACAACCTGTGCGTGCGGAAGTCATCATCAGAGTCAAATGAATACCTGTTGTCAGTAGAATGTTCTTAGTCCAGTTCGTGCAAAACAATTGGTCAGTTTTTCCATAATGTTGTTGGCTGTAAGACTCAAGTGGCGTAAGTCGGTCGTGATTGGTCCATTTCGATCCGTCGGTAAAGTTAGTACGCTCTGTTTGGTTCGTTTGTAATGTTAATGTCGTGAACGAGTCGTTTGTACGGAGCTGGTAGTAGTTGACACCTGTTTAGGGGAGTCTGTTCCAAGTTAGTAAACTAGCTTTCCGGAGTCAGTCGTTGAAAGTAATTAGTGCTGTGGGTTAGCCATTGTGCAGAGTCCCAGTCAATATTGTGGTTCGTAAGTCGATGATGTTCAGCAATGTTATTGTTGACATCACCTTTCCTCGTCGCCCGTCTGTGTTCAGTCAATCTTGTTGGTGGCATAAAAATACACCGAGAACCAACTCCAGTATCTACATTTACTGCAGTACTCAACATGTCAAACTTACAGGTTTCTTCATGAGCTATATTAATGCTAGTAAATTATCATGTTCAGATATCACACACAAACGTCACTTCACCATAATTTACGGTTCACTCTATTGCACTTTTCTTGGGTTAGCAATAAATTAAGCCACACCCCACTTTGCACTCCAGGTCACAAAATTCGACAAGACTAACACTTTCCTCTTTCCAAATGCAAGTCAATCAAATTAGGAGCATTTTTAAAATCCTTCACCAAAAAGTTTATTTTATATTGATTATCAATTATTGATCTTTCACGACTAATAAACACAGCCACAGCCACGTCACAAGACTTCTAGCTGCGACCCACGATCATAAGTCCAAAAAAAATATATGAAAACATCTCTTTTACTTAAAAAAGAAACCAGGGGATTTTTTTACAAATCACACCCGACGGGTTTGTTTTAGCTTTAATTTTTACCACTAAAATATCCGTGAACGTAATGTTGCTGAAAAGCGACAAAAACTACACTGATAAGAATAAAGACACGTTCACCTACGCAGCTTTGTGTTTATTTCCACCAGAAGCACAACAAGAACGGTATCATAGAATCATAGAAAAAACCAAAGAGTTCGAAGCTCTTCGCAAGGAATGCATCAGGGTGTTGCCATACGCAGACGAAAGCGGTCAGGTGTCCGTTGAACTCTACGTGTTCTGTGGCAATAGCCGCATACCAACAGAGTTAGATGCAGCTGCTCAAGAGTGCTTTAAAGGGATGAGTGTGGCGCTAAAATGGACGAATCTGTACAAAAAAGAATCTGATGTGCCAAACACCACCTCTGGAATGTCAGAAACATTGCAGGGACGCAAGGTTGATGAAATTAATAGGATCATAGACACTTTTCTACCCACATTCAGCCAGCATCGTAACATCACTGCAGTGTACCCTTCCTTCAAAGTAACAAAGTCGAAGCAAACAGGTACGCCTTGCATCATGATTAATGTTGTTGGCAAAGGTCGCATCCCAATCAGCGAGTCAGAGATTCCAAAGTTTGTTGATAGTTACCCAGTAGACATCGTGGAGGGATTTTGGATTGAAACATGTAATCTACCTAATCCAAATAAGCTACAAGAAGAGATGGATCGCCTTCGTTTGGGAGCAAGCATTAGCATCGAAGGGGCCGATGCTGGGAGCTTAGGTGCAATTTTGAGAGATTATGATAGTGGCAAATTCTATTTACTCTCTTGTAATCATGTGATTGGAACCGGCGAGAAAAATGAAATATTCCACCCTGGGCGGCTCCACTACTTGAAGTTGTTAAAACATTATCTAGCCAAATATAAAACATATTTGAATAGTATAATTGGTGTCAAAACAAGTCTTACTCTCAGTGGTGAGAAGCCACCTGAATTAAAGTTGTTAGAAGAATTTAGGCAGCTGCAAAAAGATTCAGATGAAGTCAACTACAGTAAATTGCCTCGATCCATGAAATTCAGTAGAGATTATGAAGATTTTATTAGGTGTGCACAAAAATTGGAAGAACTTTTCAAACACCCGCCAAGGGTTGTAGCGGACCTTTCCGTTAGTTTCTCCGGCAATGTGTGCGTTTCCGATCAACGAGAGTATGGTATCGATGCTGGAGTTGCTGAGTTGAGAGAAGAAGAAGTAAAAGCCCTCAGCGGAAATTCTTTAATCGAAATGATTGGCACTACAGATTACCCAAGCGGTAACGTTATGATGTCGAATGGAGTCCTAGGTAATGTGAGTACATGGTGTAAGAGTGGCAGTGCCACTGGATACACTTCGGTAAAAAGTTATCTTGAGCTTGTTCATGTAAATTTAAAACATTTCCCTAACCAGGAGCTTGTGGTGCATCTTGACCTCCAAAAAAATGAAATTTCTCGAACACGTAAACATGTACAGTGGCGAAAATGCTTAAGCCTTAAAAAATCCTCAAAAGAAAAAGAATTATTCGCCGGCGAGGGTGATTCTGGGGCAGTGGTTTTTAAAAAATGTCAGGGAGCGGAGTCCATGTCAGGGATTGGCATTGTTAGTGGTGGTCATTATGAGGCCCGCCCCCACGGGATTGAGCATTGTGGCACCTTTGTATCACCGTTAGATATTTCTCTCAAAATATTGTCCCTTTCACTGAAAAAAAAATTTTTTTAGTTAACTATGTTTGAGGTTTTCTTCTAGATTTATCTAGAACTCACGGACCTCAATTCACAGTTTGAATTTAAACTTTTCCAACAACTTGCATTTCTTATATAACTTCTATTATAAAGAAAGAAAAATGCACGGTCATGATATCAATCAATATTTTTAATCCTTAAACTTTTAGTCAGTAATTAGGGACCGTAAGCTGTCAAGACAGCAAAGCATCTCCCATGGTGGCCTGATAGATTCAGTCGTGATTTTGTTTATGTAATGAAGTGGAATTGAGTTCGGAAGTTTGTAGGTTGGTTGTATTTTCCAAGGCAAGTAATATGAAATTAACTCTAAGGAAGCATTTTATATAAATATTTTTAGCATTTTGTGTACCAGTACATGAGGAACAAGCACAAAACTTTCCAGAAGGGCCAGGACATTCGGGAAATGATGTAATCTACACTAAAAGCCATTGGGAGCTTGATTTGGTTTGAATGTATGACTAATTTTGGACAAAACATACCTGTCAACACAATGCTGAGCGTAGGTTTCTATTTCCATCTCCGCACAAAGTTCTATTCTCGGTTGAGAGCAAATCATTTACTATAATTAATGTATTTTGGTTTTGTGGGACTGTATTTTCAATAAAGACTTTGAAAACAGAAGAATTTAGTTGAGGTAGGTGGATATGGGGTTGTAAATGGAAGAATTTAGGGAAAAAAGATAGGTGCCTAACAAGATCAGAACACAAGCAATATTTTAATGAATCATACGTTGAGTAGTAGTCTGTAGTAACATTACTTCAATATTGCTAGTGGTTGGGTTTCAGGTGACGTCACAAGCTTTGCTGAAGTTAGTGTCCGCCATGTTGGTGTCCCTCGGGTGTCAAATTTATGAATAATTAGTCGATTTCTATAGTGAAGCCCTCTCTCTTATCGCCGTATTATTTCGCCAACTACATGAATATCCAGACAGAAAAAAGCGATAAAAGTATCCGGCATTCATCTTAAGGTATCCCAGTGCTCTCTGAGTATGCCGAAAGCTTAGAGAGTTGGAAGGAAAGATGTTTGCAAAAGATCTCGGTCATTGGGGTTGACCCTGCAAGCATACCAGCCGAGAAGTTCAGTCCAAAATGCTTGCCTCCTGTGGAAGCGTCGGACTTGCTGAGTTACCTCGTTCTTGAGACCAGCTTCTACACCAAGAAGCAGTTCAAGGCGTTCAAGAGTCTAGAGGCGTTTAATCAAATGGTGTCGGGATTTGTAACCTCAGTTGTAGGCAAAGTAATCGCCGGCAAGTATGCCGTGAGAGCACGAGTTTGGCATTCACAGCATATGAATGATCCTTTAGTGAACATTTGGGTCATTTCCGAAAACGATGGGACTATTTTGTCAGCCCATTGCTTGGGATGCAAAGCTGGACTGGCTGAGTCATGCTCACATATCGCGAGTGTTTTATTTATGTTAGAGGCAACTACTAGAATTCATGGCAAGGTCGCTGGGTGTCACGAAAACTCAGACACCGAAAACTCAGGTCCCTCGAAGTGTTCTCCAAGCTTCCGAAGTGCTCCATAATTCGATAGTGCATAGCATAAAGCATGAACCAATTTTTTTATAATATAACCGGTGGAATAATGCAACAAATCCGACGCGAAAGACGAACAACAATATCAAGAGTGATTCTTCAGTGAGGCGAATCGTGACGGCGCTGATGCCGAGTCTTCTTTCGCGTTGTTTTTCTCTTTCTGCCTCATTTAAGAACTCTAGCCCAAGGGTCGCAAAATTGTCTTCGTTTTGGGACTGGTGGGCCGAGTCTCTGTTTGTATCCATTATTATCGCGAAATATTTAAGAATTTTAACAGAGCGACAACAAGGATCTGTGCGACGAAGTACAAAAAGGTAAACAAACGTCCCTTTCGGCTCGTCAAAATCACGCCACATTTTAATACTTTGGTGTTGGAGCGAGCGCATTTGATCCCGTTAACTGTGAATGAAAAGTTCAAAATTAACGGGAAAAATGGAGGAAATCTAAGCTAAATGAAGTCTTGTGTCACTCTAAAATGTTTTAATACTCAACCATCGGACGATTTTGCGAAACGTGCAACTTGCGGCCTTGCTTTTGCTGCTTCAGTTGGATGAAGACCCAAAAGGTCAAAATACACGAGGGATTACCAGGAGTGATCATGAGTCGAGTTTATCTCTTGAATTTTCGAGGAGTCTGAGTTTTCGGGGTGTGAGTTTTCGTGACACCCCAAGCTTACTTGCACTCAGGTAAAATGCTCATGGATTTTGCCGACATAGGTCAATGAAGTGCCGTATGCGAGGGCTAAAGACATCGATTTCTCATCGGCTAAGAAGCTCAAAGAAAAGCTCGACCAAAAAATCGAGGATCTACAACAGCCGCAAGCCTCGAACAATACAACAACTTCTAGTTCCTCCTGTTCTTCCCCTTGATTTGTGATGATCTTAGGTATAGCGCATTAGATCATATATATAATGAATTTTGCGCTATAGAAATAATAAAATTATTAAATTATTATACGAAAAAATCCTTAGTCTTTATGCTTTCCACTTTTGCTCGAACAGCCAACAATAATGCATAAAACCATCCCTTCTTTCTCACATGAACTCTTCGTTAGATACGGTTTGTTTACGCTCGAGGGACACCAAGATGGCGGATAGTAACCGTTGCTAAGGTATTGGTCACGTGGGTGAAACCCAAGGATA